AAATCACATTACATTTCAACATACAGATCATGGGCAACAAACCAGCCTGTTGACCAAATCTCGTCTACCACTTTTTTTTTAATAAAGTTTTATTAGATCATAGCTATTTTCATTTTATATGTGCATTATCTGTGCCTGTTTTCATGCTACAACAGCTGTTATTGCAGTAGATTCCCTATGATGTGCAATGCCTGAAATATTTATTTAACGGTTCTCTATAGAAAATGTTTGCCAATCTCTAGTCTAGATATATCACAATGTATTAAGTGTCCCCTACTGTTAGATATTCAGAGTTTTTATTTTTTAACTACCAATGATAACTGCAAAGAACATCTCTAAACCTAAATCTGCCTCCCTAACTCTGATTATTTCCTTAGAATATATTTTACAACTTATACAAAACAGATAAAACACTTTATAGTTCTTGATACATTCTGTCAAACTATCTCCTGAAGAACAGCTAATTTACACCCACACCAGCTGTTTATGAGACTATCTTTGCCAGAATTGAACATCATTATTTTTTGATAGAGGAGTATTTCATGTTAATCTTTATGTTCTCAATGGTAAGAAAGGTAGACATTTTATCACCTACACATTGGACAGTGTATTTATTTTTTTTTAAAGATTTACTTACTTTTTTGAAAGGCAGAGTTACAGAGAGGCAGAGGCAGAGAAAAAGAGATGTCTTCCATCCACTGGTTCACTCCCCAAATGGCCACAATGGCCAGAGCTAAGCTGATTCGAAGCCAGGAGCCAGGAGTTTCTTCCAGGTCTCCCACACAGATGCAGGGGCCCAAAGACTTGGGCCATCTTCTACTGCTTTCCCAAGCCACAGCAGAGAGCTGGATCGAAAGTGGGGCAGCCAGGACTCGAACTGGTGCCCATATGGGATGCTGGCACTGCAGGCACAGCTTTATTCACTAGGCCACAGCACTGCCCCCCCCCTTTTTTTTGAGAGGCAGAGCTACAGACAGAAAGAGGGAGATACAGAGAAAGGTATTCCATCTGCTGGTCCACTGGCCAAATGGCCACAAGGGTTGGAGCCAGGAGCTCCTTCCAGGTCTCCCACGTGGGTTCAGAGGCCCAAGCACTTAGACCATCTTCCCCTGCTTTCCCAGGCCATTAGCAGGGAGTTGCATCAGAAATGGAGCAGCAGAGACTTGAACCAGCATCCCTATGGGATGCTGGCGCCACAGGCAAAGGCTTAACCTACGGAGCCACAACTCCAGCCCCAACATTTGTATTCCTTTTTTGAACAGTTTGCTTGTGTACTTGGCCCATTTTCTTATACTAACTTTTCTACCTCTTACGAGTATTTACACCTGATCTATCATATGGGGCCGACATTTTCCACAGCTCATCATTTGTCTTTCCGTCTTCATGCTTCTTCCTCTATGATAACATAATAACTTCTGGCTGAATCATCTGTATTTTGCCACAGTTCCTCTACAGCTTTAACCTTTCATTTTCTTTCTTCCTTGCCTCTCTCTGATTTCTCCTAGGGGAACACTTCAAGATAGTCCCACATTTTCACCACGACTTTCTGAAGTTTCCATTCAGTCTTTCCTTGCTTCCAACAAGGATTTTAACTTAGTATTTGTTTCTTGTCTTTTCTTCCCAATCAGCCAGGATAGGAACCATTTTGTCTTCAGCAGAGATAGGAACCTTTTTTTTTTCCCTGCCAAAGGCCATTTGGCTATTTATAACATCATAAATATAAAAGGCCTTGCAGTTGCCTTGGCAACCAAATGATTTTTGTGGGCCTTATGCAGCCCACAGCCAGATGTTCTGCAACCCTGCTCTACGCATATTTCCTTTTCATGTCACTTCATCATTTCTGCACCTCAGGAGATTCCTGTAACATGGAGACCAACTCTTTCTCCAACCTACTGTTTCCAATATATCTGAAATATTGCTTATTTCAGACATAGGAAAAAGTCCATTGAAAATGCATATTATGAAAAACACTACACATGGATTTTTTTAATTTGCACCTAAATAAACTTCTCTTTTCATTCCATGTTCCCATGAGCTTTAAAACTGTCCTCATATGTGCATATTTCCTACAATGTTTTATATGTTGCATGATAACAGTCTAGATCATTCCTTTTTGTGGTATGCACAAAAACATGCCCATGTCCTAGCCCTCAAAACTTTTAATGCAGTGTCCTGTATGGCAAAAGGAACTTTGTAGATGTGATTAAGTTAAAGGTTTTGGGATAAGGTATCATGGATTATCTAGGAAAGCCCAGGATAATCACAGAAATAGAAAGGTCACAGTCAGAGAAGACAATGTGACAATGGCAGCAGAAGGAGAGAGAGAGAGAGAGAGAGAGAGAGAGAGAGAGAGAGAGAGAGAAAAGTTAGAGTTGCTGTATTGCTGACCATGCCGATAAAGGAAGGTGCCAGGAGCCAAGGACCTCAGGCAGCCTCTAGGAGCTGGAAAAGACAAGGACACAGATTCTCAGTCTCCAGGAGGAGCCCAACACCTGCTGCACCTTGACTGATTTAGGGCGTCTACTCTCCAGAACTGTAAGATTTTGGTTGGGTTGTTTTAAATTACCAAGTCCTTTTTTTTTTTTTCTTGAAGATTTTTTTTAAAACTTTTTTGAAAAGTAAAGCTACAGAGAGAAGCAGAGACAGAGATCTTTCATCCACCCGTTTCACTCCCCAAATGGCCACAAGAGCTGGGGCTTTGCCAGGACAAAGCCAGGAGCCTGGAGCTCCATCCAGACCTCCCACAAGGGTGGCAGGGGTCCGTGTACTTGGCCACCCTCTGCCGCTGTCTCAGGGTAATGGCAGGGAGCTGGATGGGACGTGGAGCAGCTGGGCCTCAAACCCGCTGCTTATACATGATGCTGGCATCACAGGCAGCAGCTTAACCCACTGTGCCCCAGCAAGAACCTGTAAACCACAGAACCTGCAGTAGTCCACTACAGCAGCAGTAGGAAACTAACCTGTTAGCCAAAAAGGACTTTGCAGGGCCTAGGGTGTGGACCCTGAGGCAGGAAGACTCCCCAAGTCATTTAGGTAGGCCACATCTACTCACTGAGCCCTTGTGCGCAGCGCAGGGCTTCCACCTGATTTCCCGGGGTGCAGCCAAAGAGCAAAGGAGGGATGAGCCAGAGACAGAGACAACATGAGAGGGACGGGACCTACTCTCACGGGACTGAAGACAGAGGAAGGGGCCACAAACCAGGGAATGCAGATGACCTCTTGAAGCTGAGAATGGCCCCTGGCTGACAGGCAGCAAGGAAACAGGGTTCTCAATCATACAACCACGAGGAACTCAGCTCAGCAACGACTTAGATGGCCTTGGAATTGAACTTCCCCATAGAGAGAGAAATAGAAAAGAGAGGACTGGAGCCTCAGTGATGCCTTGATGTGGGCCTTGTGAAAGCTGGAGCAGAGAAAACCCACCAGAATGCAGAACCACAAAGCTGTGACGTCATAAAGTGGACCACTAGGCTTACGGTAATTTGTTAAAATAACCACAGCAAACATTACAAAGTTCAAACTGACTCAACCTCAGAGGGTGCATTTTACTCACACAATAAAGAATCTGATATGGGGCAGACTGGGAGAGCATGGCAGCTCAGTGGCTTGATCCCATGGCCAGAGATCCAAATCCTTCCAGCCTTCTGCTCAGCCATCCTTGAGAGGTTAGCCAACTCCCCTTCAGTCTAGCAGACTAACCTTACTTTGGAATATACTTTTTTTAAAATTTTTATTTGACAGGCAGAGTTATAGACAGTAAGAGAGAAAGACAGAGAGAAAGGTCCTCCTTCTGTTGGTTCACTCCCCAAATGGCCACTATGGCCGGCACTTCGCTGATCCAAAGCCAGGAGCCAGGTGCCTCTTCCTGGTCTCCCATGCGGGTGCAGGGCCCAAGCACTTGGGCCATCCTCCACTGCCCTCCTGGGCCACAGCAGAGAGCTGGACTGGAAAAGGAGCAACTGGGACTAGAACCTGGCACCCATATGGGATGCCGGCACCACAGGCGGAGGATTAACCAAGTGAGCCACAGTACTGATCCCTGGAATATACTTTAAACCACTTTGCTTGCACCCTGAAATTAAATAGTTCATTAAGACTTGCTGCTATGACATGAGGCACATATGAAATTCCAGGCACAAGATGGCACCCTGCAGAATGACAAGCATTATTGTGGTGCTTTAAGATAACATAGTGGGGCCAGCAGTATGGGGCAGCCAGCTAAGCCAGCATCCCATTTGAGAGCTAGTTTGGGTCCTGGCTGCTCCATTTCCAATCCATGTCCTTGCTAATGCACTTGGTAAAGCAGAGGATGATGACCCAACTTCCTGGGCCCCTGCTGCCCCTGTGGGGAGACCCAGGTGGAGTTCCAGGCTCCTGGCTTCAGCCTGGCCCAGTCCCAGCCATTGCAGTCATTTGGGGAGTGGACATCAGATGGAAGATATATAGATATAGATAGATATAGATATGGATAGGGATAGGGATAGGTAAAAGGACAGGGATAGGGAAAGGGATAAGGATAGAGAAAGGGATAGGGATAAGGATAGGGAGAGGGAGAGGGAGAGGGAGAGGGAGAGGGATAGAGATAGAGATAGAGATAGAGATAGAGATAGAGATAGAGACAGAGACAGAGACAGAAAGAGGTATAGGTATATCTTATACATATATAGACATAGACATAGACATAGACATATCTTATCTATCTCTCCCTCTTTGGGCCTGTACCTTCCAGATAAAGGAATGAAAAATAAAACAATGTACTGAGAATCCACACATGCCTGGTCCTGTGATGAGCATTATCAGGGTCACTGTTCAAGGGGATGCAGACTCAGCCCCTCCTCACTATACTCCTTCGTGAAGCTGAATTTCACACACCACGCGGTGCCTGGTCCCTGCCCTTTTCTCACGGGGTCACAGCTGCCCACTCTACACTCTCAGGCAGCAGCAAGCCAGGCTGCAGCCAGACACTCAAGTCTGCCGTCTTTTTCTTGCTTGCCATTCAGATCTGCGTGACTTCTGAAGACGAGCGAGACGGCTTCGTCAGAGTCCTCAGCGGGAAGAAAAGAGGCCTTGTCCCCCTCGACGTCCTAGAAAACATCTGACTGTGGGCCCCACCTCCTCGGGAAGGAGGAGGGCTCTGCTGCGATGCCCTGTGCCTCATCTCACACTGTGTCTCCTAGAGGAGCTGCTGCCCTGCCCCGCCCTGGCCCCCAAGGAACCAGAGACAAGACGCAAGGATCTGAGACCATGGGGCAACAGCCGCAAAGCAGTTTCTACGCTGCCCAAGATGGTGATGAGGCTGGGGCACCCGGGACAGAGCTGAGTGCCACACCTGGCCGCGGCGACGGGACTGTAAAATGCAGGCGTGTCCCAGGACTCGAGCCCTTCCCTTGCCATGTGGTGTCAGCTAACCATGCTGTGGCCCAGTGCGGGGTCCAGATCCATGTAGGCAATGTTATTCTGCTTCCAGACCTTCATCCTCTGTGTGGGTCACTCAGCAGCATCGCATCTCAGACCCCGAGCCGTCGCTCTGCAGAGCATCAGGAAGCCCTTCCCCGACTTTGCAGCTTCTCCTTCCCAGGCCCTCCACTCCGTGACCATGCTGTGCAGAGCAGCCAACTCCTGTCTCTTTCAGTCCCGTAAGTCAGTCCTGGTGTGTAGTGCACATGAGGGCAAACTGACAGCACCAAAGACCTGCCCTGCCCAAAGCCAGTGGACAAGCAGCCCCTCTTGCTGCTCAGGTTACGCACCGGGCAGATGCAGCAGCATCTGAGGCCCAGACCCCGGGTCAGAGGGTCGGGGGAGGTAAGGAGGGGCACAGGGCCCTTATTTATTGAAGATTACACAGCCCTTTCAGCTGTGGAGTCCTTGCTGGAAGCAGACAGGGAGAGAACATGGCCAACAGCCCCTCTGTCCCAGGGGGCAGCATGTTCTCTTCATGCCATCCTGCAAGACTGCCTTTGGAGGTTGGGTCCACCATGCAAGGAACCAGGAACATGGAGAGAAACTAAGGACACAACCTAAGAAATGTAGCCGAATCAGAATTCCTTCTTCTTTGGGGCAGTATACTATGCCCTAGCAGATGTAAAATGGAAAACCATCCTTACCGCTTCACCCGCTGAGGGTGAAGCCCATGTAGACAATTTAGCATCATCTAGGGGGATCTCTGTTACTCTGTACTTGTACTAATGTTTACAAGAATGCAATATACTGTGATGCCTTCCTCCTCAAGCCTCCCTCTAGCACCCAAACTTGCATTCTAGTTAGTCATCAAGGTGGTTCCACTCCAATTCACAGTGACCTTGGGGTCAAGGCCAGTTTGATCTCTTTTGTTACCAAGCAATAAATCACTAGAACCATTGGTTTCTAGAAGACGTAGTAGCTGCGTCCTGCGCATGTGAGCATTCTCTCCCAAACCAAAGCACGACCATCTGCGTCTCCTCCTTTGGTCTTGCTCGCATGCCGGTGGGAGCTGAGATGGATGGCTGCTGGCTTCACAGTAGTTTGGATGCCTTACTCTCATTTTAAAGCCAGCATCCAGAATGTCCCCCTCTTTTACAACACAGAAAATCCAAGGTACAGAGTCAAGATGGATTCTTTGAAAGCCAGGGTGAACATCATGACTGCCTTTCTGTAAAACTGAATGCCGCATACAAATCCTCTTTGCCTCTCATTCAATATTCCATTTAATAAAAACAACGCAGTGGCTGGAAGGAGCTTAACAAACATGTGTCTTGATCTCTTCTTTCTTATGCAAAATCCGCTGAAGTGTTTCTGTACAGTGGTGCCACATCCTATGAACATTTGTTTTGTGTTTAAAAAAAAAATCAGTTTGTTTTTTGAAGTTGAACACAAAGGGGATGCAAGAGCCAGCCTCCATTGTGATCTCCCAGCCATCCCTACCTCCTGATATTCTTGCCTTTCTGTAATGTGTTGCCTTCCCACATGCAATCAAGCAGTTCTCATGTGACCAAACAGAATACAACAGAAGCGGTTCTAACTGGCATCTGAGGCTAGGTAAAAAGAAAATTCTTAGAGCTTCCACCTTGGTCTTTTAGAACCCTGAGACACCATGGAAGGAGTTTATCTACCCCAAGTCCACCCTGCAGGGAGGACTGAGTAGGAAGACCATGCATTTCAGCAGCTAAGGTCCCAGACATCACAGCACAGATGAGACATCCCTGCTGAGCCCTTCCCAAGTTACATAGTTATGAAGAAATATATGTCAGGGTTTTTTTTAATCACTAGTTTTGCAGCAGTTTGTTATACAGAAATAGATAGCTGGGAGAACTGCTTTGTTATTTGAGCCAAAGTTAGAAGAAAAGAGTTCTTTCTGCATAGTAAGGCCAAGAAGATTTGTAAACATGAAGTATTGGCAGGTGATTGGCCCTCCAAATGCAGGGTGTCTGGACTCATTCAAACACAGGGGAAAACCGAGATGCTCCACCTGGCATGGACTGACAAAGCTGCCTCCCAACACAACAGACTTTACAAGGCCAGCTTTTCCTCCTTTCCTACCTATGTGCAGAAAGGACAAGAACAAGGAAAGCTTTGGCATACCAGAGCCTCGAAGGTCTCCCACACTCAGAAACCTCTGCAAGTCAGGCCACAGCTTGGAATGGAGATAAAGGAAGGAATACAGGAGACAAACTCTGGGAGGGACAGGGGAGGAGGGGAAAGTACTTATATGAAGAAAAAGTAGATGGGGAGAATATTCTGCATCATGTGGGAGAGTGGCCTTGTGCCCCCTCACTTCCTACCGGGCCTCCAGCAGAGGGATGCTATCCATCTAGCTAAGCCAGGGCAGCTGCCCTGCACTTCACCACCGACGTCACAGGGCTTGAGTCCATCACAGCCAACTTAGAGTGAAGAACTGATGGCGCCTTCCCAGGGCTCCATAAGGTGGCGAACAGAGAACTTCCTTCACCCTCCACCTGACCTCCACTGCCAACAGACTTCTCTGATACCTTTAGTGTGGACAGTGAGACTACAAAGACAGTCCATGTGTAGATGCCCAGGTGACTATCAATAGGGTTGATTGCACACAGTACTTTTGCCGTGCAATTACACACCAACACACACACACACACACACATCCATACTCCCATCAAGAAGAAACCAGCTGTAGAGTAGCATATTTAGAGTAACTGATAAAGGTGATACATAGTAAGAAATCACAAAGTGTCATTCTTCTTTGGTATAAAAGGGAGAAAAACAGCGAGAAAATCAACACGTATTTAAATATCCCACTGCCAAGTACTGCTAAAAGGTTAAAAAAATTTAATTAAAAAAAATAGAAAACATCCCTATGGTCCACTGGCACCAACTACTGATAAAAGATAATTTTAATTAAAAAAAAAAAAAAAACAGAAAGCTGGTCTAGGTAACTGACTGTTCCAAGGACAGGAAAGCCAGAAAGGGAACGTAGCCAGGCATAAGCTAGAGCCAGCCCCAGTAGGGGAGGCAGCTCTGCTGTGTATTCAATCAGAAACTTAGATTTAGGTAAAGTGAGTCTGACTTCTGCATCCAGGACTCCTCACAGCCTTTACTCCATTGATTGTCTCGATGAATAACCAGAGATTTAGAACAGGGGAGCCTCTCCTGGGACAGCATTCCAAAGCACACTGCTTGGGAAGCCCTGCAGTGCAGAGTTCTCATATGCTAGGATCACCAACAAGCACACTGCCTCTGTGACCCCACTCTTCCTACATTCCGCAGAGACACTGCTGACACCATGGGGAAGGGCAAAGCACACACTCATCGGGATAATTAAGGCTGAGAGATGATCTACTCTGGAGTCTGAGTCTGTAGGGGAGTCAGGAGGAAGGGAACCCGTGCACCCAGGAGGGGAGCACTCAGGGAGGAGAGGGGCTTTGTGTACTCTGATTGACAGCTTTAGCAAACACCGATCGGCATGGAGTAGGCTGCTAGAAATCTGGGAATAAAAGAAAGTCCAGCATTGCCCAAAGAGCATCCCCAGGAAATTGAAAGAGCAGGTGTGTTCCACAGACTCAGCACAAAACAAAAACCCTTAAAAGCTAACTTGGGCAGAAAATTAAGACTAGCATAATGACATCCTGTAACCATCGCTTAGATTTTTCTCAGTTGCAGCTCTGTTACACTTTTATACAACACCTGATGTTTTGACTCTATGTGTTTTCTTGGCTTCCAATAAAATGTTGTAAAGCCTTCCATTTTCTTGTGGTAATAGAAATTTTAACTGTACCTCGAACTGTTAACAAGATTATAGCGATTTATTTTAATTATTCCCTTTTTTTTTTCATTTTTTGACAGGCAGAGTGGACAGTGAGAGAGACACAGAGAGAAAGGTCTTCCTTTTGCCATTGGTTTACCCTCCAATGGCCGCCGCGGCCGGCGCACCGCGCTGATCCGAAGGCAGGAGCCAGGTGCTTCTCCTGGTCTCCCATGGGGTGCAGGGCCCAAGCACTTGGGCCATCCTCCACTGCACTCCCTGGCCACAGCAGAGAGCTGGCCTGGAAGAGGGGCAACTGGGACAGAATCCAGTGCCCCGACCGGGACTAGAACCCAGTGTGCTGGCGCCGCAGGCGGAGGATTAGCCTAGTGAGCCGTGGCGCCGGCCTAATTATTCCCTTTTAAAACTGAAAAGTGACTTTTTTATCATTTCACTGTCCATTTGAATCAGCTACTGAACACCATCCATGTCTTCATGGAAGGCAGCACACACTGATGTCCTGAAAATACAACCCAGAAGAATACAAAACCTATTTCCAAGAACCAGGATGGACTTGCTGAGAATTTCTCCATCAAGCCTCACTGACTCAGGTGCTTGAGTTACTCACCAGATTCCACCTTTTTATGTGCATGGCAGAGCTTTCATTTGCTTATTAAGTCCTTTTACAGTTTCTTAAAAGTCTTGTTCCTAGTTTATTTACTTTTATGCTTTCATTATGATAAAATACAGGGCTATAAATTTTCCTCTGCGTTCAGCTTCGCCCATATTAAATGGCTGCTTCCATTTCTTTTTTTTTTTTTTTTTTTAAGATTTATTTATTTTAAAGGCAGTTACAGAGAGGCAGAGGCACAGAGGGAGAGAGATCTTCCATCCACTGATTCATTCCCCAAATGGTCACAACAGAATGGGCCTATCTGAAGACAGGAGTCAGGAACTTTTTCAGGGTTTCCCACGTGGGTGCAGGGACCCAAGGACTTCAGCCATCTTCCACTGTTTTCCCAGGCACATTAGCAGGGAGTTGGACCAGAAGTAGACCAGCCCTGATTTAAACCAGCACCCATATGGGATACTGGCACCGCACGCAGCAGATTTACCCATTACCTCACAGCACTGGTCCCCAAGTTTCAATTCATTTATAAATCTCTGTAACTACAGTTTTTGTTTCTCACTTGGATGTTTTATGTCATGTGTATGTGTCTGTATGTATGTATGTATTGTGTGTGTGTGTGTGGATGTGTAAGTAAACCACTGTGCCTTGTGGTAGAAAATATGGTCCATGTGATTTCTACTTTGAGGAATTAACTGGCATTTTAGTTTGTGCTCTAATACCTGATTGGTCTTTATAGATGTTCAATGGATACTGAGAAAACTCAGATCTGCAATATACAGTTCAATAGGTAACTATTAAATAAATCCTTAAAGTGCTCAGGTTATCTATCTTATTTATTTTTGGCAGTGTGCTCTTTCGGAAACAAGGAGATCAAGAGCAAGCAACAGCAGGGCTGAAATCAAAGACACCTTGCAAAGACCCCCAAGCCCTCCCCCAGAGACCGCCTGGGCAGGAGGAAGTGGCAGCCCATGCTCTCCACTACAGCCTCCCCTTCCACATTTAGCATGAATGACTCAACTCATTTCCTAAGAGAATATCCTAGAGCAAACTCTAAAGGAACCACTTACAAACGAAGAGATTCCAAAGATATTCCTGGAAACTTCAATTTTGAACCTAGAGAATTGGAGTCAGGGAGTTTTAACAGAAAGAAAAATTACAATGAAATCGGCAATCAGTGTTGAAATGCCATGAAGGTTTTTCTGAGAAACTCAAAGGACCTGTGAGTTCTTAATTATAAGGCACTGGATTTCTTTTCTTTCCTTCATGTTAGGTGGGGTAAGAAATGAAATATAACTCCGATTTTAATAATGATCCTGCAGGTACACAACCAAACCCCACATTGCTAGAGTAGACTGGGGGCAGTCTCACCCTGCTAAGAACACCACTGCATGACAAGAATCCATTTATTCTGACAACATTTCTGAATCTGATGAGCACTGTCCTCATTTTGCAGATGGAGAAATCGAAACTCAAAAAGATTAGGTCATCAGCCCAAGGCCACATAACTGGATAAAAGGCAGAACCCTGTTTTGAACCTCTAACAACGCCTCTAGTGTTCCTAAGTAATTGATGACTAGGAGGGTTTTGTCTGCAAAGCTAAATGTTGGAGCTATGTCAGTCAAGCAATAATTATTGCAAGTCTCATATCTTACAATACAGAGTACATTGTTATTATTGTCATGATGATATTTTTTATGGATTTATAACTTATTGTAGTAAAAGCATGCAGTTGTGCCAATGCCATCTTACTAAAGTGATCAGTTTAAGTTCATAATTGATCATAAAGATAGGATTAAGAGTCAAAGGGACCACAGAAACAAGACCAGTGTCTGCTAATAATAACTGATAGAATTAAAAAGGAGAGAATAGGGCCGGCGCCGCGGCTCACTAGGCTAATCCTCC